ATCTTCCCACAGGGCAAGTCCATACATGCACTCCATTTTACCCTGATGCTGTGCAAAGTGTTACAGTGACGAAAGGAGCTGCAGGAACCTTGCTGCTTTGGTAGCAGAAATAGGTATGCTAATAAATGCCTGGTTGTAGGAAATACAGGATTCCCAGTCTGTCAAGCAGTGCTGCCCTCCAACAGATTGCTAGTGCAATGGTCCACAGATCACTTGGATACAACTTTCCATAATTTACCAGTTGTTACTTGCATGGTCCTTTCCTGGGTGCTTTGACAAGAATCTCTGAACTTTCATCAGTAGAGCTACAGTATTTAAAGCTGTAGCTGGTGGCAAGCAACAGTGCCTTGAATATATAAAGTGATATCTAAAAGGCAATTAATGAGATTTCACAAATTCAGTACGTAAAATTAGTTGGGTTTTTTTGACAGTTTATGCCTTTAGTCTTGCTATGCCTCAATTCTCCCTTCTCTGCAAAGTGAATAGCATTATGATAGTTCCCAAACTACTTAACAAAGTACTCATTACTCCTCACAAAGCTGGCAGACGTAGCAATGAAAGCCCCAACAGAAAAGTCCACAAGAAAACGAGTTCTGTGTTTTGTGCAGAATTTCAGTGATATGCAGTAAATACATTAAGTTCCCCACCAGACTGATTTTGAATGTTTATGTAGTCAGAGACGTCATCCATCGCTTCCACAGATTAAAGACCTTTTTTTCCTTAGGAAAAGGAGAGTAAACTAAATAGGAACTGGACAGGATTTAGCTTATGGTTACAGTATTATACTGGCAAACTTAATTTTTTAGATCCATAACTCCATATGTTTGATCCTGCAGATGTTAGGGATTTATTTTGGAGCATACCTTTGAGCCCTGACTTGGCCTCCCTGCTGACGTGGTCACACGGTGGCAGCCTGTCCCTGCAGTAGCGTGGCCTGCACACCTGGCACTGACTGCAGCAGAGTGAATGCAGGATGCTTGTAGAAACTGCTGTCCCATGGTTTGTTTCTCTGAGTCTTTCTTTCCCAATCTACATTCTCAGCAAAATTATCATCTGGTTACAGTAAAAAATATAACCAGATGAAAATTATGGAAGCATAAATACATTTCTGAGAGCAATGTGACCTGCATTGTGTGAAGGCTTCATGACCGGTAGTGTTTAGAATATTTTAGTGCAGCTTCCAAGTTGACTCCCACACAGTTCTGCCTTGTGCCTCTCCAAATATGTGTGTAACAAAGCCAGCTGGATGCCCCTTTAGGTTTTCCAGCCACCATGTCCAGAAGCAGCAAGAACTTGGCAGGTTTTGCTTGTATAAGTAGCTGCCGCTGGAGATCTAAAATCCTCCTCTACACTGTTAGCTCCTGTCTTTTCTTCTGCAGTAACGTTTAGCTACACAGATGACTCTAAAGTTTTCACAGGTGTTGGAGTTTGAAGAGCAGCTACAGCATAAATTTTGCTAACAAATTTTGATAATGCACAATGGAGAAAAATATCTTCTAATTTAAGAATTAAAAAAACAAAAAAAACCCAAACAGGTAAAGGTGAGTCGAGGTGCTAAAACTCCAGGGTTTACTAGTATCTATTTTACATAGAAAATACAGTAGCCTAATTTTAGCTCTTAATTGACCGGAAATTTGGTTCTGTTCGTTTTGTTTTGTTTCCATTAGTACATTACATAAATCCACAAAATCTGTGCACTATATCATAACACGGTCTTTCAAATTCGAAAATATGCGCTAATGTGCAATTAAAGTTGCTTTTGAATTGCTCAGCAGTGATATGCTCCCCACAACTTACATTGCAACTACATCTGTAGTCTTTCAAACAAGTTTCCACATGTGTTTGAATGGCAAGATAGAAATCAACAAAGTCCCTTCTCTGTACCATGACCCACACTTAATCCTAATCCTCTGTAGCATGACAGACATTACTGACCTAAAAGTTCTGATAAAACGTGCTTTGGCAAGCAAGAAGCTGTTGCAATTTACTGCATTGATCTATAAATCCTCATTAACTACTACAGTGCACTGCTTAATTAGAAAACTCTGCTTAATCAAGATGTTTCCCAAGGTATCAATTTACACTTAATGATACTTGTGGCAAGGACAGCTGCTTAATTGGGATGGTAATTTCATTTAATTGGGACACCTTCAGGTGACTTGGGTGACAACCTGCACATTACAGTTCAGTGCATCCTCCTCACAGTAGCTTGCAGTTGCCCCAGTCTGCTGGTTCCCAGCGAGCTACTGAAAATCGCCTGACACTGCTTACCAGTGGATAAGGAGCCACCTTCCCATCACTCTGAAGGAATGCCAGTATGTATGTCAAGACTATTCAGAACACTGAGATGCTCGATACAGTACCACCACAGGGAAAGGTGCTTAGCTACTTCATCAGCCTGATTTTAATGAAAATATTCAGTCCCTGCAATAGCTGAGATTCTTCTGTCTTAAAAAGGCTTAAGAAAAGATGAATCAGCAATTCATGAGTGTAATTTCTTTGAAGTCTTAAAATGTGTGAGTTCATATTGTTCATTAAAAAGCATAGTCTTAACTAGCACAATTGCTGAAATTAAATTAGACACATGCACTCAAAATCCACTATTTGAGACTGAATAACCAGTATTCAACATTTAATACATAAGTAACAGTATCAGCATGTAGAATGTGCTAGGATGGAGGACGATCTGCTGGCTTATTAAAACCAGAGCTATGATTACAGAAAGCTTGTGTCTTCATTTTAAAATTAATTTTCTATTGCAGTATGAAGTCTCTGGTACATTGTTTCTTAAGATGCAGCTTTAATAGAGATAAAGAACATTCAGCGCCTTCAAGCAGGTTCAGATTTGTACATTGTACCTGTATGAAATTAGAGTGTGCAATTTGAGGTGCTGAAGGTTGCTTGCTGCTGGAAGTAGTTGGTTGCCTGTCAATGCAGTTGGCAAAGAATCACAGAACGGTTTGGGTTGTAAGGGACCTTGATCATCTAGTCCAACCCCCCTGCCATGGGCAGGGACACCTTCCACTAGATCAGGTTGCTCAAAGCCTCATCCAAACTTGCCTTGAAGACTGCAAATTATGGGCCATCCACAACTTCTCTGTGTAACCTGTTCCAGTGTTTCACCACCTTCACAGTAAAAAATTTCTTCCTAATATCCAATTTAAATCTACCTTCTTTTAGTTTAAATTGTCCCTACAGGCCTTGGTAAAAGAAGTCTCTTTCTTTCTTATAAGCCAGCTTGAGAGGATGAAAGAAGTTCTGGAGCCTTTTCTTCCCCAGGCTGAACAACCCCAACTGTCTCAGCCTTTCTTCACAGTAGAGGTGCTCCAGCCCTCTGATCATTTTTGTGGTTCTCCTCCGGACCTGCTCCAAAAGGTCCATGTCTTTCTTGTGCTGCAGACCCCAGAGCTGAACGCAGTACTCCAGGTGGGTTCTCAAGCGAGCAGAGTAGAGGGAGAGAATCACCTCCTTCGACATGCTTCTCTTTATGCAGGCCAGGATTATTGTAGAGACCAACCTCTGAATTCCAGGAAGCAAAGATTATGACTAACGCCAAATTAATCTGTTTTAGTTTGTACCTGCAATTAAACTGTGTTCAGCTACTCCCCCTCTCAAGCTTTTTTTTTTTTTTTTTTTTTTTTTTTAAATTGGAGATAAGGATCAACTAAAGGAAACAAGGAAGGAGGTTGCTGCATATTATCTTCATTGACCTAATACCATGGAACACGTAACATCAGATGGACACAATGTGAGCTATCCAAATGTTAGAAAAACATACCCTTACTGATCACTTCTGAGAAAAGCCTGTGATCTTTTAGAACTGATGCCATATACATCACCTATGATAGCAGTGCCACCACAGGTCTTTTAATTGCTCTGATTGAAGACTTCCTGTAAACTAGTGATTTGTCATCATTGCAGACAGCTTTAGAAGATTCTTCCCAACTACCTTATTTGTTTTTATTCATACATAAGGGCATTAAGGCCAAAGCTAAAAATAATACTGCCTTGCTTTCAAAGGTGAGACAGAAACTGTCAGTAGCAGGAAAGTAGCAGGAGAGGAAGCAACTTGGAGTATGCACTAAGCACAATCACATTAACCGGAGCCTGTACTCCAGCATTTTAGAAAGCTATCCTGGAGATTTGCTATACTTGAGAAAAAACAACCTAGCAAGGATTTTAAGTTTTTTTCCCAGAAAAAGGAGATTTATAAAATCTTGCTGGGGGAGGAAATCTTACAATTGCTCCAGTATCGTTGCCCTTATTCCTTCAAAATACACCTTACAAAACCTGCCACCACAAGAGACCTAAAGCCTCCTTTTTAAGCTCAACACCAGCAACAGTCTGTTATGACACCTGCAATGACAATAAAGCTCTTTCATAAAAACCTGCAGCAATTACAGCTGTGTACACTCTGGTCATAATACAGATTTTAAAAGGAGATTAATCATGCTCTGATCCTCAAATTAGACTGATAAATCCTGATGATGTCACACAATGATTCAGACTTCCAGATGATTCATACAGCATGGAAAACGATCTAGCAGGTCTTCTGCAAGTCTCTTGTTCAATGAGTGAGCACAGTATGCAACTGAGGACTCCTATCCTATGAATAAAAAAGGAAGTGTGGAGAAACAAGAAAATATGTACTACAAATCAGGTAGTACTAGATGCCTACCCTGACTAATTTGCATATTTAATTTGAGACACAGGTTTCCTCTTAGCTGTGACCATGTTTTATTAATTACCCTGCAGTTTTATTTTACAAGTAAAATTCCTCTTTAAATGTTTAAGCTTCCCTTTGTACATGTATATAAATTATTAGTCTTTAAAAAAAACCCCAGCCTTGTGACATAGCAAAATATTGTCCAGCTTCTATACAAAATAGCACTTTTTCTCTGCTGGCAGTAGACATTAAGTGGTCTGTGTAACTTTTACAAAAGTTGTATACAAAAAACTTAAAAGTATGCAAACATTCCAAAGTACACTCCGACAGCTAATGCTCTGCAAATACTTTATTACACAAATTACATTCAGCTTCTGAAAATAGTGTTCTAACAGTGATACCATCTAAAAATAAGACATCCCAGAAACACATCAAGTTAGGAAGAAGAAAAAAAAATTAAATAGAGGCTTTTTTCTTTCCTTCAATGCAATATAATGTTAGTGATTTTAAAAAAATAGAAGAAGATTTAGCAGCTTCATTTTCTTGTGGCACTGTATCTTCTCTGTACTGCAACAAGTTAAGGACATTGAAGAGGAAAGGCACAAAACAGAAATTGGCAACTGAATATTTATGGGAACAGTATTTTGATGAAGCATATAGTAAGACTTATTTACAAGATCCCCAATTTGAGATGAGAAAATATTACTGCTTTAAATCAGTGCTGCAATTAGAAGACTGGTTGCTTTATTAAGATGTTCACATAAAAAACAATGGCACTGATATGGAACTTCCATACACTCCTCCACTTAACAGAACTAAAACCAAACAAAAAATTAAAGGAACCAGTGTAACGGCCCCACACAGACTAGTACAGTTTACAATTAAATACACAAAATCTTAAACGTGCTTAAGGGAAAAGGAATCTGACATTCTGGGTTAAATTGTATAATGGAGAACTCAAAGGCTGTTTTCAGGATGATGAAGGTGCTGGTGGAGGTGCTGAACACCCTTCCTCTGAATCTGTGCCATCATCTTCATCTTTTTCTTGATCACTTCCTTCAGTGCTCAATCGGTCAAACCCTTTTCGGCTGTAGCCTTTGTGACTTGCAAAGAAGTTCCCAAGGTTAAGGCCACCACCACCTTTCCCTGTGGAAAGGAAAGGCTTGTCATTAGGCTTGCTTTACTGTACGGGGGGAATAAAAATCTATCTACTCATTCAGCAGTACAGTGGAGATTATTTTAAGTGTCCTTCTAGAAACTTTATTAAAGATCAGCACATCAGCCACCAAAAAATTACAAAAGAGGAAATAAATTAATCTTTGAAGTATAAGTTTAAAACTATTTTATTCAGCATCCATTGTTTCATTAAGTCTTTACACAGGCTATTTGTGTTCCCAACAGTTTGCCCTTAGTCTCAAAGTGCTTCATTTCATTCACCAGATCCACAGATAACTCATTATAACAGCTACTGCTCTTCCACTTGTAGTGACACATCCTCTTCAGCAGGCAGACAATGATGGATGAAAGCTGTTGTGAAAGACATTTCCACAAAACACCTCAAATCTGCCCTCTGAGAAAGCTCCATCAAATCTGTTATTCAACTAGAAGTGAATACAGGAAAAAAAACTCCAGTTACTGTGTTCTTAAAGATCTTCAGTGACTTAGACTTACCTCTAAGTCTGCCTAATATTCTGCCTGAACTTGAATCGAGTTTGTGTTCCCCATCAGCTGAAAAATAAGGTAATTTCAAAAATAAGCTAAAAAAATAATGTTCTATGATTATTATCTGTATTTTTCTGATACAAAGCAAACATTAAACAAATGGATAAGTAGCTCTAAGAAGCAAAACCAATACTTTTCAGCTTCTTGATGAAGGTGAAATTATAATTCCTAACAAAGTTGTCATACCACAGATGTTTAGTTTATGCCAGTCAGGCCATTAAGAAGATTCACATGTGAGTTATTTCTGAGAATTTAGTTCCCTCAACTGTTCTCTTATGTTACTGTGGTGAGTTTACAGGAAGGACAAGAACCTTATCATTTAGAATGTGCACAGCTACCTTCCCGCACACTGCAAAATACAGCTTGACATTTGAAACGGCATAGTTTCCCTTCAGAGAAGAATGGCTTTCTGGAAGACAGTGATCTGTAAATTTCTTCATGCATTTTGGCGGAACTTTTTCTCCTCCCTCACAAACTACATCCTCCTCCATGGTAACTCTCCCTCCTTCATCTCAAGAAAAATTAAATGCCATGACCAAACTGTCTTTTCCTATATACTACTCAGTTTCCATAAATCTGTGCAAAAGTTTACTTTTGCCAATGTAACTATATCATGCTATTGACACAGTAAATTCAAGCACTGCTTGAATCCAAATGGAATGCAAAGATGCTATTATAGATCATATCCATTAACACCAGTACTGCAGTAGTCTAGAGCATTAGCACATTTGATGTGATAAACATGCCTGAACACAGTCAAGAAGCTGCACACTGAAACCTTCAAATGAAATATATTCAATTCAGTTGCACAGCAATATTAGATCATCAAATTACCTACTCTGTCATAGTATGTCCTAGCCAGTGGCAGAACTGTGTTGTTTGTCTACTCCATGTACATTTTCTTCTCTTGATGAGAATATCTTGATAAAACTATTTATAGCATACAAAATAACCAGTGTAATGATCAAACTCAACTGCAGTTTACCTGTTTCTCAAAAATAATGCTACTATATAATATGAATTAAGAACAAATTTATATAGTATTACATGTACCAATTAAAGCTCTCACAGCAATTGATAGAGGTGCATTATGGCAACATCTGACTCAAAAAATGCACAAGGTAGTACTGAACAGTAACATATAAGCTCTTGTAAATGTTACCTGTTTGCATTTTGCTTATACCTTTATAATATGTAGAGTCCTTTGTTCTCAACAATTTAAAGATCCTGAAGTGAAAATCAAACTATACTCAGAGTATTAAAATTTATGTATGCTAGACGATAACATTAATATATTCTAGTTGTTTCTGAGATACCAATTTTCAGCTTGACACCAATTAAGGTTTTTAGGTACAGGTTCTGAAAAGGTGGAAGCTTGAAATGTAATGTTAAAGGCATAGGGGGAAACAGTTGCTGTGTGCACACTGATTCTTAGTTTGCATGCAGCAGCACAGTAACTGTTCAGACAGTAAGCCTCTCTCTTTATACCTTCATCCCTCAGTGTTCAGTGATATTCGGAACTGGAATAATAAAAGCTGGTTCTCTAGAGTTACTCATGGTTACCTCCACAGACAGTTGTCTTCCTCCACCGAATAAATACTAAAATTGCCAGCAGGATGACAATAGGGATAATAAGAAGAGTTGTAATAAGAACAAAGGAAACTCCAGTGCTGGCCTGTTGGACCAAATGTTGTTTTTCCTGCTTCTTTAGAGGGTCTGTTGATTCTGGGTTGTTTTTCAGTCTGGCTTCTACAATTGCTTCTGATTCTTTAAAAAGAAGACAATTTCAGTATGTAATCCATATGCATCAAGCAACACAGAACAAGGCATTAAAGAACAGACCAAGCTAGAATACCTGAAGTGTTGAGTAACAAGGAAACAAAAGACAAACACTTAGGTAGACATTTTTAGCTCTTGCTGACATTATCCCAAAGGTAAGACAGAGAGAGTCTGAATGATATTACTCACTAGCAAAGATGTCTTCTCTTTTTGTCAAATGGGGAAAGGAGAGGTGTTAGGGAGAGCTTTGTCTAAAGAAGTAGCTATCATTTAAAATACAGGAAAATCCCCAAAAGATCTGTTTTTGCAAATAGGCGTGTGATGTAATATCAACTAAATATCTCCTTTTGATAATAAGACTTCCACAAGAAATACAGAAATCCAGGATATGCTGTATTATCATAAACAAAAAGGAAAGCATTTACAAGTTCTTTCTAATAAACTTGGGACAAAGAGTTAAATTTTCAGAGCACTACATCCCATGAAAGAGCTTTGGCTCTGTAAATCTGGAGAGCTTTTGAAAACTGCATCATTCCTGAATAATTTGTTATCTCTCCACCCACAAGGAGAAAAACAATTTCAATAAAATCCTCTGTACTGTTTTGTGTGTGTATACAGGATCACATGCTTTGTGCTAACTTTTAATGAGTAAAACTGTCTAGCTATATATTTTAAAATCTGACAACGGCACTTAAGAAGCAGCTGCATCAGAAACACACTCTGAATCAACTCTTCTGATTCTGTATCAAACTTAAAATGTTCTGTTCTGAAAGAACAGCTAATGCTTCAGTTAACACTAACACAGTTATAATGATGATAACACTGCATTAGTGATAACAATGATACAATGATAACATGCTGCCTGTTCAAGTTGTAGTTATAGCAAACAGCAATTTTCCTCCACCATCTTGCCCACCTTTGGGCAAAGCTACCGTTCTCCACATATCTTCCCCCACTTCACAGCTGTGCAAGCAATAGTAACAGTCTGTCACCAGAAGGCTATGAAAGTACAGGCCACTCCTGTCCATTTATTAAACAGAGGATGACACAAAGTCCATTTGCTATCTCTTTTCTTCAAGTGGAGCGGAAAGATGTTTATTTCAGTCTACTAACTCTAAGCAGTTTATTTATTACTTAGAAACTGTTTCTTACACCCGTGATGCTATTGCATTTTTCTCTGTAACATTAGAAGCGAAATGCATTAATATATCCCCTAGATCTGTTGTACTGTGGCTGCTGTAATGTCAACACTTCCCTTTTGAGTCCTTCAGGAGGGCTGATGTACCAACAGAGATAAAACAGAAGGATAACAGTTTTGACAATAAGGATTTAATTGTTTTATAACGGCACCCTCTTTTATTCTACTTTATTCTGTATGCTTGCAATTGGCAGTTGGGATCTTTTGGTGTTTTCCGCTGTCTGCATATACATGGCTAAAACAAACCACACAAGCTCTGAATTCAACCACAGAATAACAGTTAAGAACCGCTGAACATTTTATATAGGCCTCTCCAGTACTGTTTTTCTAAATGGGAAGTGAACTTTATCCTTTTCAGCATAAAAAGTGTATGTAACAGAATACAAGTGGTTAAAATTATTTTTCATCTTCCTGAATTGCTATTTTACCCCTTTCAATCTCCTCTACATGTTTTTCTTTATCTCCTTATATTATTTTTTTTTTCCATGCAGACAAATTGAAAAAAAAACCCACAGTAAATCTAGGGAAATACATCCAAATACAAAAATTTTTTTGCCCTATGGTGTGACTGGCAAGGCTGTGTACTGAAAGACTATGCAGAAAGATATACCAATTGACATTTCAAATAACACTTTTTTGGTGGTTGAGGGTTGTGGTGCAGGGAGAAAGGAGCTGAGGAGTAACTATCATAGTTACATTTCAGAGGTATTTCTGCATGGAAGGGAGCTGACACAGATACCAATCTGGACCATACCAGATGGTGGTATGGAATTAATCCACTAGTTAAATTTTTATCTTAGTGCCTGTGAAGCACTTGTCATCACTGAAAATTAAATGTTCAGATTGGCTGTAAAGTAGTATCTACTAGGTAACACAAGCTGCTTTCTAGTGCTTCCTACACCAGCTCACTTTATCTGTATGAAATGACAGTGAAAAACAAAACAGTGAAACTAGTTAGCATTTCTCCCTCCAACTTGTCAGACGCAGTCCTAGTCTCTGTCAAAATACTGGTTCCTTCATTCCCATTACAAATCAGACTAACCTTTTATTTCCTGTACCTCAATACCAGCCTTTTTAACTGACCGATGTTCAGTTTCTGTAAAACAAAATTATTCTTCAGGACAACTGACATTTCAGAAAGACACTTAATGACCTTTTCTTGATAGCTTCCTCAAATGTACAGTATGATCTGACAGTAAACAATCCCATCCGCATCTGAACTTCACCAGGGAGAGTCAATATAAACCACTCAATAGCTCACAAGGCCACGGAAAAAAAGAAAAGAGCTTGATTCATGAAAGGTATTTGCAGTAATTAACTCTTATGCCACAGAGAGATTTTATGGGTACGTGTAAAAGTTCAGGGAGTCCCACAAAAATAAACCTGTTAATTATAATCAAAATCACGACAAATTAAAGGCTGGATGAATCAGGGCTCCTTCTCTATGTCAGTTTTATACTTCAGCAAAAGCTAAAAAGAAAATTATATACAAGGACTTTCCTCATCTAACCTGTAAGTGATGAATAATTGGGGTTTTTTTGTGCTCATGTTTCTTTGAATAAAAGCCTAGAAGTGTTCTTGTTCAGGTAACTATATCAGAAAAAGACATATCCAGTCAGAATTACAATTTATCTGGCCCAGTTACCTGTTATTAGGAGTAGTTGATATCAGATGCCTCAAAGGAAAGTCCATGAATTATGAATAGACAAATATGGAATAAATGGCTTAGTCAGAAGTTCATTTATAACAGCAGACTCTTACTGGTTGTCTTAACACCCTGAAGCCTGAAGCTTTATCTCTCTTATATATTTTTTCACCAATATAAGGTAACAGTGGAATATATTTTTATTCCTGTAAAATATCTGCTCTCTCTGTCTGACTACTCAGGTCCTCTCCCTGAAATCAGGCTGCTTGACTTGGGGGTTACTAGATTAAAACTGGGAAGTCTTTCCACTTCATGGAAACAGGACCTCGAATTACCCTTGATTCATTTTCTAATGACAAATACTCCCAATGAAATGAATATAAATTTTAAGTTGACTTGTGTTTTTACTTCAGCCTCTGGGAGTTTCCTATATGATAACCTCAAAGGAAGCAGTTCACTTCTGAGCAAATGATACATTAAAATTACTACAATGCTGAATAGTCATGCTTTTTTTCAAGCAGGTACTGACAAGACCAGGGATAGATCTACCATGAGGCAAACGCATTTGGATTCCTCCTGCGACTAACTCATGCATTCAGGACTCTCCTTTGACAGAGCATGCAGCAATGCTGAAGAAAGGTCTTCTAATGAAAACTGAGAAGTAGCACACAACTTCTCCAGGCAGAACTTGTAGTGTACTTAAATCACTGTCATTAAGCCCCCAGGTTCTTGTCCAGCAGTACCAGGTAAGTGGTACTGATCTAAAGATACAAAATGGGAAGTTGTGACATTAAGAATGAAACAAACATACTTTCTGTGGATGCAAACTTCCACACTGCTCTGGCATGAACATCTCCAACAAATACTGTTTTATCTTCTGAAGCAACAACATCATGTGGCATCTCAAAGTTCTGTGAAGATAAGCAGTCACAGATTACCCTTAAGTGTCTACACATTCATGAGGCCTCCTTAACCCTGAACTTGAGACTGGTCATATTCAGTCCTTAGACTGGAACACGCAGTAGGTGCTGGTGTGAAGGCCTCACAGGAATGAAGGGAGAGGAATTCCATTTCTATTGTGTGTTTGCCTTCTCCAGCGATAAAAACATGGAGATTATTTGATGTATTCATGCTATACAGTGCTTATATTTATAATATTTATATGTATATTCTTGCATTCAATTTTATCCTGTGAAATATATATTTTAAAAATCATGAATCTTTGTTTCAAGTGCACAGATTTGGTTTTTGTCAGAGTTTGTATGCAACACCGCTATTTTCTATACTCGGAAAAACAACAACTCTCTCAAATATCATTTAAAAATGGACTGCAAATAACAGAGCATATGTGTTGCCCAGAAATGGGAATCTCAACATTTATACTTTAGTCTAATACAATCTATGTGTGTGGTGGGGTTTTGGTAGCAGGGGAGGGGCTACAGGGCTGACTCCTGTGATAAGCTGCTGGAAGCTTCCCGGGCTCTGAGTTGGACCTGCCTCTGGCCAAGGCTGAGCCAGTCAGCGACAGTGGTAGCACTTCTGTGAATCATATTTAAGAGGGGACTATGCAAACATGAAGGTCAGTGAAGAAAGGAAGGGGAGGAGGTGTGCCAGCGCAGAAATTCCCCTGCAGCCCATGGTGAGATGGCAGGCTGTCCCACTGCAGCCATGGAGCGTATGCATGCCGGAGCAGGTGCCTGTGCCCAAAGGAGGCCATGACTCTGTGGGAGGTACCCACACTGAAGCAGTTAGTGAAGAACTGCAGCCCGTTAGAAGCACCCATGTTGGAGAAGTTCATGGAGGACTGTCTCTCATGGGAGGGACCCCACACTGGAGCAGGGGAAGAGCATGAGGAATCTTCCCCATGAGGAGGAAGGACTTCCAGAGACAACGTGTGATGAACTGACTGCAACCCTCATTCCCCATCCCCCTGCGCTGCTGCAAGGGGAGGAGGTAGAGAAATCAGGAGGGAAGTTGAGCCTGGGAAGAAGAGAGGGGTGGAGGGAAGGTCTTTTTTATGAACTGTTTTTATTTCTCATTATCCTACTGTGATTTGATTGGTAATGAATTAAACTGATTTTTTCCCCAAGTCTAGTCTGTTGCCTGTGACCATAATTGGTGAGTGATCCCTCCCTGTCCTTGCCTCAAACCAGGAGGTTTTACCCTTTTGTCTTCTAATTCTCCTCCCCATCCCACTGAGGGGCAGGGCAGAGAGGGAGGAGAGGGAGCAGGAAGTGAGTGGCTGCATGGTGCTGGGCCTAAAGCTAGACACTAGGGAAACTTTTCTTTAAAATAAACATGATTTTAATGTACAATACTGTGTGAATGATATTTAGCCTTAACTTCCACACTAATCTTCTGTAAAGAAGGGATGTAACCATACAGTTGAATTTCATTTCTGCTTAGGAACATACTCTATTCTTTGACAAACTACTAAAATCTAAATATATGAATAATTCAAGTCATTCATTCTTCTCTTAAATTAGCATTTAAGAACTGTCTGACAGCAATACAGTAGCCTTATCCTGACTGATGGTATTGTCTGTAGGAATCATCTTGAGGGTAGTATAATTTTCGAACATTTAACAAATGTAGAAACCAAGACACAAAATTCTAGTGTCTTTATTAAGTTAATATTATAAAGAATTCCTCTGGAATACCTTACATTATAAAGCATCTTATTTCCTGTATTAGTCTTATGAAAGTTGGAGAAGTATAGTGTTACCAGCATTCTCACATATTTAATAATATGCACCAGGCACTCTGTGCAATACTCTACCTTTCTAAGCGGAATGAAAGTATCTATTATTTCTCCAGTAGAGAAGTTCATCACAAATCCTTGCAATGGTTCTGCCTCTCCAGGATAAGGCATTCCATTAACTGCAAAGAGGAGACCACCTGCAACAACATTAGATTTGCTTTTACAACCCACACGCAGGAAACTACAGTGAAGATTAACTGCAATAGTAGAGATGAAAAAAAGCTGTCTGAGAGAAAGACAAAGAGACAGACAGAAAGGTAACGCAAGAGGAAACTAAATAAAAAAAGGTAGGTAATAACAAGTGAAAGTTTGGCATTTAAGAGGTGTACACTTTGTCCAAATGAGAAGAACAAGGAAAAGCAATATTTTACAGATTGGTTAAATGTAAAAAGAATGTGTTAAAAAAATAATCTGAGGAATGCTTTGCTAAGGATGCTTGATCTGATAACAGAAAGTCCTTTAAACACAAGAAAAACACAAAGTCAGCTAGGGAATCAGTGGGACCATAAGAGGAAAAGGTGTGAATGGGGGACTCAAGGATGACTGGCCTGTGGAAGAGAAGCTTTGTCAATATTTGTCATTTTTTTTCTGTTGAATATGTTGAGGAGATTCTGACACTCAAATTTTTTATTTATTTTTTTTTTAATTAGCAAAGAGGTCAGAGGAGCCAGCTCAACTGGAAGGAGATACACAAAAGGTGTGAGACAAGTTGGAAGTAAAAAATTCACCAGGTTTGGATGGTATTCACTCAAGTTCAGAAGGAAGTAAAATGTGAAATTAATGACCACAGGCCAAGGTGCGCAACCTAGCACTGCCAGCAGCCGCTCCTCCAGGAGACTAGTAGACTGCTAAAGTTAATGCCCATCTACAAGAACAGCTCAAGAGGGTGCCTGGGATCTACACATCAACAATTCTGGCTTCAACCCCCAAGTAAGATGGTTAAATCCATAATAAAGAATAAGACATGGCTAAGTATGGCCTGTCAGAAACAAGTTGGTATGGCTTGCCTAAGAGGACATTGTGCCCCACATCTGAACTGGCAGAAACAGCACACAGGTAAAGAAGATTCTGTTGACATATTTGGATTTTCAGAAAACCTTTGACAAGGTTGTGCATCAGAGGTTATTAAAGAATGTGAGTTGTCACAGAGCTGAATGAAAGATCTATTAATCAAAAGGAAGCAAAGAGCAGAGCTTAAGGGCATTTTTCAGGATAGAGAAGTCTGAGTTGTGCAATACTGCAAGGATGAGGACAGAAACAATTTCATTCAGTAGTCTTCATTAGTGACCTGAACAATGGGGTGAACGGTGGTATCTCCCAGTCTGAGGAAGGTACTGAGTTCTGCAGAGCAGTCAAAAGCTTGATGATATTGAGAAAATACAGAAAGACTTTTTATAAGAATGAGTTGTCAAACAGATGGCAGAAGAGCTTCAGCAGAGACAAATGCAGAATGCTTCTGAGAAAAAAAAGTACAGATCATGCCTACATGCCGTTTAGCTTGGAACTGGCAGCTACAGCTCACGAAAGACATTTCCAAACCACCACTGAAAGGTCTTTGAAGTCTTTGGCTCCATGTACAGTGATAGCAAAAATGTCAACAGAATGTTCAGCATCAGGAAGAGAATTAGGAATGGAGGGGACAGTTATGCCACTATGCAAAAACTTAGCATGCCCCCATCTTGAGTAACGAGTGCTGTTTTACTCGCTGCATCTCAAGAAGGTCCTAATGAAGTTAAAGATGCTAGAAGAGAAAGGCAACTACAATAGTCAAGTCAGCAGTTAAATGGCTTAAGACTAAGGTGTCCAGGGTTCTTTGGTCTGGAGATGAGACAGCTAAGAGGCAGCAAGTGTGGGGAGTACGGAACTGTTATTCACCAACTCCCAAAATACTGGGACTGTGAAGCACTCAATGAAACTAGGTCACTTTTTTAAATTAAAAAAATGAAGTGGGTAGTGAAATTCTGGAGACTGTAGTTGCAGGAGGTCAAGGAGACAGATAGTACAGGCCAGTTCAAAATGGGGTTAGGAAAACTCATCGGCAATATGTCTACAGAAAGATACTACTAAGAAGGGGTCAGAAGGTGCCTTCTAACATCCTTAAATAAAGTGTTTGTAGATGTATGGGGAGTAGGAGAGGAAAGGACTACATGATATACAGCCAGGCTTATACATTCTCCTTAGAATGCCTCTCTTGCTGCCACTGTCAGAGACAGAGTACTGGCCTGTAGCTATCAAGTATTTCACTCAGTATAGCATTTTTTTTGTTCCTAGCAGATGCAAGAGAGATAACTCTGATAATAAATTTGATATCAACACTTATATCCCCATATCAGAGTCAGGAGCCTGACATGCCAAAATTCCTCATCCAGTTCTTGACATTTACATTACCTTCAGTACTGGTATTAAAAATTTAACCCAAAAACTCAATAAAGTAATTGCTAGCCATATTGTGGTATTAAAAACCAGCACTTTTTCAAACTTACTGCTTTCAGAGTTTTTATTTTATGAAACCCTAAACTTTCATTGATAGTTTGGAAGCTCTTCATTTTGCTCTCTTCAATGGAGCTTGAAAAGAAAATTTTCAAATGTTATTATTAACTAGCTACTAACTATGCAGTCACTAGGAAGGAAACAAGATCATCAATTTGTTGACATAACATTTAGGAAGTCGAATCAGTCCCTTCTCAGAAGCAGAGATTATATGCAAGCTTCCCGCATCCTGCAAGTAGGAAAACAGGATAGTTCTAAAATTTTCCATTACATCAGCTCTACTTTGACAGAGAATAAATATCAAGCCTAAGATAACATGATAGCACTCTTCATGAAATAACACTGTGTACTGTGACATACTGGCATAAAGCAACTACTTGAAATCTGAAGAGCAGGAAAAAACATTACCTGGAATATATGAAACTGCAAACAATTCTCTTCCAAATGATTTGTGCTTGAACTCTCTCATGAACTCCCCAGTCTCTAACCTGAAGCACTGAATTCGACCATTTTCCCTGTCTGCAACACATAGCTGACTGAAGTCAGGGATCAGGGCTAAGCTGTGAGGGATATGAAACTGTCCAGGTCTGGCTCTGTATAAAGAAGTCTCTGCAATACAAAACACCCAGGTTTGTGTTAAAGTACACACCAAAACTATAATTTTTGCTTAGAAACAGCAATATGTCACATAACGGAATATAACACTGGTAAAAAAATAAAGTCGGCAATTTTACTCACTTAGGTAGGTAAATTGTGTTGTCTTTGTAAAGCCTAAATTTATTAATTCACTATTCCCTACAATATTTGGCATAGCTGAATGCCTGATATATAAATCTGAGTCAGGCAAAAAGGGAATCATTCATAAAACTTAAGATAGATGGAACCATGGCATAAACCTTGCAAAAATGGTAAAAGCTTATACTATTTGATTAAATGTTTAAGAAAAAATATTTTTTTTGTGAAAGTCTGAACATTTTCTTGATAAGACAGGACATGCCAATACTTGTACTGAAAGCATGCTAATAAATTCCCATTGTTTATTTTTAGTGAAAATATAATTACTAGAAGTAGCTGTATGAATAGATGAAATTGGAATGCAGTAACAAGGCTGAAATTCAGCTAGGGCTTGGAAGGTATTTCAGTAATAGAAATTTATAAATAAAAGTAATAGCAACATCAGCAATCTCATGGTTGACGATGAGTTAATGATAACAGCAGGATGGGTGAAGTACCAAAAGACCTGACCTGTACCTTCTCCCCACTGCATCACATACAATCCATTTGCAGAAAACTGAATGATTCGGCTGTTACAGTAGCCATCAGAGACATAAATGCTGCCAGTTATTGGATCCACGGCCACATCAGTTGGTTGACAGAAGTGGTTTTTGTCACTGCCTGGTTGCAAAGCCACTCCTAAGGTCAGTAATGGTTCTTTGTCATCTGCTCCCAGTTTGAAAACCTTTTTTGTAGTCAATGGAAAAGAGAAGCTTCAGTTATGGAAGATGAAATATAAGAGGGATGACTGCCTATGGAAAAATATGTATTACTGTGAATAAAATAAATTTATATACCAAATGTAATCTTAATATATTGACTACGACATCTATTACCAGTTTTTCAATAGTGTTGATTCTAGGAAATTTCTGCCTAAAATACAAATTTCCTGTGATTACAGCAAACGAATTAGTTTCACATTCTGGATTTAAGTACATAGGAGAATTGATAAGTAAAGCTGTAGCAGAGAAATCTGTTCTTTTTCAAAAGAATCATTTTAAAACAGATACTTTTATTTCTGAATACTCTGTCCATGTAGCAAATTATTCAACGCAACTATATTCTGTGAAGGCCACAGGGGTCAATTTCTATAGGCATATTCCTAATGTTTATCTTAACAGGTCTAGATAAGTAATTTATGTCAAATCTCTAGGAAAACAAAAACATATTTTTTGGCAAAATATTAAGGTCCTGGTATTAATGCTTCACAAACATACCTGATGGAGAGCTACATCAGTGACCCAGTAGTTACCATTTTTATCTATACTCAACCCATGTGGTAAATAAAATCTGTAAGCACAAATATAGTAGAATCAAGTTAAAAACATCTTTCAGGAAGAATGATGTAGATGTGAAGATTTCATTTCTTATTTACAGATCAACAAAAGCTGTACATACTACCTACTTGTAGTATTTAATTAAAAATATAGCTTTACAGAATAGAACTTTCCTGACAAGAGTGTCCCAGCTCTGAAATTCAGCTGATCTCGTGTCTCACTCAGGGTAATATTTGGTATCTTTAAGGACAATATACAATACTCATGAGCTCTGCATTTCTGTTAATCTGTCTGGCAGATGAAATTGTATGACTTGCCAGAAAGCAGAAGTGGTAAAGATGGCAAATTACTTCGTTGATTTTGTAATTTTATTTATTATTTAATTAAAGTAAGCTCAGAGGCTACAATCACACAATGTAATATAAAACACGAAAATGGGTTTGGGGACTTTTTGGAGTAAAATATACAGAAATGTTAGTTCCATTGATAAAAGCAAAAATAACTTACAGACTTTTGCCCATGGAATGAAGCAGTTTTGCATTACTTGGATTCAGGACAAGAATTGTATTCTGTTCAATTGGTCCAAGTCCTCTTTGCTGATAAACAAATTTGCTGTCAAAAGAACTATACAAAATAGTGGAATAGAAAGCCAGCATTAGAAGGTTCCACTGATGAACAATACACATGGCAGCTTAGAGCTGACTTTTGTATGGGGCTATTAGCTTCTTTTTATTCTTTAAATAAGCCTTATTACATTACTGTATGATCATAAGAGATAGAGTGTTGTCTGCAATCCTACTAAGATTATGACTTCCAAACTAAAGGACCACCAAAAATCAACACAGCAACAATTAATATAATCCTAATGCAAGCAAAAAAACTCTTCCTTTATTTTTCTCTTCTTTGCTGTGGCAAATTAGAAATGTGAAATCAAACAATGTAGCCTAAGTAAAAATATGCTAATCACCAGGGCATAATTGCCAGTAAAGACAGGCGAACTGTATACTGTCTAAAGCAGTGTGCATGTTTACGTGTCTTCCGGTTTTTCTTTTTTTCAAACAAAATTCAATATTTTGCTAGAGCTTACTGCTGTAAGATTCAGGTCTTAAGGTTCTTATCCTTTTCAGAATGTGCTTGCAGGAAACTACAGGATATGTTATGTATTCCTCCTACCCCCACAACTCCACACTCAATTTTCAGGGTGTGTCGTATATATTAATAAACAACATTAAAACATTTCACTACTTCAGACATTAAAAACTGTGATTAGCTTTCCAGAAGACAGTTACTAGGCATAAAATTATCATACTCTTAACAAAGAAGAAAAAATATAGTTGTCTGTACCACTACGGAGAAGTTGGCTGCTACTCTAACCTGTTGAAATATGAGTTTAGCATTTAGGGAAGGTAAATAAGAGTGTAAAATATTTTGAACAAAATTTAAGCTTAGATGTTAGAAAATGGTATTTGACTGTGGAGGAAAAATGTGTGAATACAAGACATACTCCCTCCTCCCATCTTGTCTTTTTAAATCAATTTTTTAATCCCAAGAGAAATCCAGCTATGGTTGATACAAATTGGTTAACAGGAATATACTTTGTAGCCAGAGAGAAGGTTATGAATAAAACTATTAAAACTTTCTACTGTACAGCCCTAGTAGCCTCACCTCTCTATAATATTAAATATTTATATGTTTAGAATCTTCAATATGGAAAGGTAATACCGGCTTCATATACAACAAGAAAAATCTATGACAGGATGCGTTTAAGTTTCTGCATAGGCTATGATTAAAAATATTTACATATTATCATTATGTATCTGTGACTATTTATTTAATTTCTGATAGAAACCAGCAAATCCTTTTCACTATGAACAGTTAAACAAGGTGATAATTACTAAAACTGTCTACTGAGCCTTCCTAAACACTGCCATGATGCTACAGGGAAACATAGAGTACATGGTACTGGCACACAATGGCCTACTGATGTCTATCTGCTTGTTTGACC